GGGTGGAAGGTTCTCAAGTAACTGCTGGTAGTGGGATTCAGGGGAAGCTCCTGGCTGCAAAGCCTAGTTATAGGTTGGGGTGGATACCATTTGTTTGTACAGTCGGTGAACTGGTGCAGGGACATACTGGATACTTGCCATTGTGCTTTTGGTGGGTGTCCAGTGTGTCCCTGTACCTTTAAGAAGGGGGTGGGTTCCATCCAAGCATACCTGCCCTTAATCTATATACACTATATTGCCAAAAGTATTAGGACATCTCTCTCCAAATCATGTGATTCAGGTGTTCCAATCACCTCCATGGCCACAGGTGTATAAAATCAAGCACTTAGGCATGCAGATTGCTTCTACAAACATTTGTGAAAGAATGAGTCGCTCTCAGGAGCTCAGTGAATTCAAGCGTGGTACCGTGATAGGTTGCCACCTGTGCAATAAGTCCATCTGTTAAATTTTCTTCCTACTAAATATTCCATGGTCAACTGTTAGTGGTATTATATCAAAGTGGAAGCAACTGGGAACAACAGCAACTCAGCCATGAAGTGGTAGGTCATGTAAAATGACAGAGTGGGGTCAGCGCATGCTGAAGCACACAGTGCGCAGAAGTCGCCAACTGTCTGCAGATTCAAAAGCTAAAGACCTTCAAACTTCATGTGTCCTTTAGATTAGCACACCAACAGTGTGTAGAGAGATTCATGGAATGGGTTTCCATGGCCAAGCAGCTGCATCCAAGCCTTACATCACCATGTGCGATGCAAAGTGTCAGATGCATTGGCGTAAAGCACGCCGCCAGTGAACTCTAGACCAGTGGAGACATGTTCTCTGCAGTGACGAATCACGCTTCTCGTCTGGCACTCCAATGGACGTGTCTCAGTTTTGTGGTTGCCAGGAGAACGGTACTTTCCTGACTGCATTGTGCCAAGTGTAAAGTTTGGTGGAGGGGGATTATAGTGTGGGGTTGTTTTTTCAGGGTTGTGCTTTGGCCTCTTAGTTCCAGTGAAGGGAGCTCTTAAGGCGTCAGCATAACAAGACATTTCGGACAATTTCATGCTCCCAACTTTGTGGGAACAGTTTGGGGATGGCCCCTTCCTGTTCCAACATGACTGTGCGCCAGTGCACAAAGTAAGGTCCATAAAGACATGGATGAGCGAGTTTGGAGTGGAGGAACTTTACTGGCCTGCATAAAATCCTGACCTCACCCTGATAGAACACCTTTGGGATAAATTGGAACGGAGACTGGGAGCCAGGCCTTCTTGTCTGACATCAGTGCCTGACCTCACAAATGCGCTTCTGGAAGAATGGTCAAATATTCCCATAGATACACTCCTAAACCAGACAGCCTTCCCAGAAGAGTCGAAGCTGTTATAGCTGCAAAGGGTGAGCCAACTCCATATTGAACTCTACGGACTAAGACTGGGATGCCATTCAAGTTCATGTGTGTGTGTAAAGGCGTCCCAATACTTTTGTTAATATAGTTTATTATTATATATGTGCTCCAACTTGGGAGACTTTCAAATTTATAAAGTTAAAACTGCAGTACACTGGGGTGCTGTGAATGGTTAGGTCCAATTAAGTTTGTTGCAAGCTGGCTGGTAAGTGAGCTGTGAATTTTTGTTCATTTTTTTACATGCATAGCCCTTCCTGTGCTCTTTGCTGCAAAGGCTAGTTATAGTTTGGGGTGGTGGCATTTTGTTTTTACAGTTTATGCAGGGGAAGCTGGAGTCTGACAAAATAAATTTTGTGACTTTAGTGCTTCTGCAGTAAACTTTGAGCATTAATTGTTCCACAATACCTGCAGCTACAGAGGTCCATAAGTGCATACTGCTTGGTAAGAATATTTAAATAGTTGAATGTCCATAGCCTAACTACTAACTACAAAGGAAAAAAAGCCTTTTCTCACCTAGGTTTATTATTAGTCTCCAATTGCAGCATATATAGCAATGGATAAATTAAGAGCAGGCATACCTGGGGCAGCCCATTAGAAAGGGGCAGGGACACAATAGAAACCCAGCAAGCTCAATGGCAGTTGAAAGCATCCAGTATGTCCCCATGCCAATTCCAGCAAGCAAGCTATACCACAATGGTAAACACCCCAATTTCTAACTAGCTTTTGAAGCAAGGTGCACATGAAAGGTTATTGTACCACACAGACAAACAAAAGCTAAACTAATAAGCCATCTCTCCTTCAGTCCTTTGTAGCACTAATCCTTCTAGTGACATCACCTAATTCTAATAAGAGAATAAGATTGGCATATGTTTTCTGCAATTCTAAACAAATCATCACATAATGGATTCTGTGTTTATCATTCTACTAAGTTAAGCAGGCCATAGATGATGTGATTTACTTTCTTGCAACCATCGATTGCAGGAAAGAAAATTGCTTCTATTCCCCCATCAACACTGACTTGGAGCTATTGTATTCTCTCAGCGAGGAGGGTGGGTGGGTGCGGGAGCCATCCCTGTAACAGTGTATACCCAGAGATGGACGCGGTTCAACCATTTTGGCTTCAACCTCCATCTTGGCAAAGGGATTAACCATCCTGACAAATATATTTCTCCCTCATTCTTCCCCCCACCCTCCTTAGAGAGGTCCAGCGACATTTGGACAGTATGTGTGTGAATTGGGAATGTCACAGGAGGGTCATAGGAGCTATAAAGCCCCCCAAGGGAGCCGGGGCCTCCCTGTCAAAAGAACCTGCAAATTGTAACACCTCGCAAGTGATAAGGCAAGCTTTCCCAAGAGTTGAAAAAGATTACAACCTAATAAATCTAACTCAGCGTAGGTGATAGAATCAGATAAACACTTTTCAAAATCCATTTCTCCCCTATGTCTCATATGTTGGAATATGAGAGACTTACATAAAAACCGGACCTATTGTCAGATTGGCCTCGAGAAGGCGAACAGTTTCATAGGTCACTCGCATTGTCTCGAATACATAGGAAAACAGAAAAGTAGATCTTGTGAACCGTACAGTGTATAATTTCATTGCTGTGCTGCTGGTTTCAGTATGTTATATATATATATATATATATGTTAGTTACAGTGGGGATCGAAAGTTTGGGCACCCCAGCTAAAAATTTATATTAATATGCATAAAGAAGCCAAGGAAAGATGGAAAAAATCTCCAAAAGGCATCAAATTACAGATTAGACATTCTTACAATATGTCAACAAAAGTTAGATTTTATTTCCATCATTTACACTTTCAAAATAACAGAAAACAAAAAAATGGCGTCTGCAAAAGTTTGGGCACCCTGCAGAGTTAATATCTTGTACTGCCCCCTTTGGCAAGTATCGCAGCTTGTAAACGCTTTTTGTAGCCAGCCAAGAGTCTTTCAATTCTTGTTTGAGGTATCTTTGCCCATTCTTCCTTACAAAAGTCTTCAGGTTCTTGGAGATCTCTGGGCTGTCTGTCACGCACTGCTCTTTTAAGGTCTATCCATAGATTTTCAATTATGTTGAGGTCAGGAGATTGTGAAGGCCATAGCAAAACCTTCAGTTTACGCCTCTTGATGTAATCCCCCGTGGATTTCGAGGTGTGTTTAGGATCATTGTCAGGAATGGACTGGCCAGCAATAGTGGGACTCACCTGCCTTATGAGCTGCAGTACCAGGGCTGGCCTGCGGGTGCTCCCAGCATTCAGAGACTCAACCTTGCAGCCAGTCAAACACCTGGAACTAATTATACTGGTGTATTTGAGGGACATTCAGACCTGCAGACTCTGCCTTGGTGTGTGTTTCTCCTGGGCCCTGTATCCTGTTCCTGCTCCCTGTTCCTGTCTGATTCTCTGCTGACCCTGCTCTGATCCCTGGCTTGTCTGACCATTCTCCTCTGCCTGACCCTCTGTACCACGCTGCCCGCTACCTGCTACCTGCTGAACCTGGCTTGCTCATGTTCTAGTAGATCAGGGCACAGAATTCTCTGAGGTGCAGCCATTGATTCAGATTTGTGCGGAGTTGGTTTCATCTGGTTCCCCCGAATGCAGGGATGAATTTTTGCCGCCATTTAGTGCCGACCAGGTAGAGTCCCTGGTATGGTTATTAGAGGATGATGTGGATTGCTTCTTGGAGCATTATTCTGCATGTTCACCACAGATACTAAGAGATTGTATAAACGCAGTGCAGTCTTTGGTCAGACAGGCTTTGTGTAAGCTCAGCTTTGTTCAACCCATACTGCAGATATGGTCAGATTTGTTGCACCCAGCCTCAGTCAGCTTACAAAAAACCCAGTCCTGCTTCTAATCTATTTCCTCAAAGCTCTATTCCTGCATTCCCAACAGCTCCTCCTGCCCTGCTATCTACCGCATGTCAGTACCCTGTTCCACACTCGCTGCACCTATCCTGCCTTTAACCCCTGTAAAAAAGCCCTCTGTAGCAACTGCTCCCTCCCCTGTTCCATCCTCAGCTCTTCTCTGTCTCCAGCTGCTCCATTCGTTTGCAGACCTGCGTTTACTTGCAGGTCTGCAAGTAAGCTCCAGTAGTTAAAACCAGAAAAAAGCGAAAATTCTTTCCAACCAATACCATCCTGCCAGTATCCAAACCGGTGAGCCTGCCGTCTGAGAACCTGCCTTCTGTGGTTTAGCCTGATGCCTGTACTCAGCCTGATGCCTGTACTCAGCCTGATGCCTGTACTCAGCCTGATGCCTGTACTCAGCCTGATGCCTGTACTCAGCCTGATGCCTCTCCTCAGCCTGAAGCCTCTACTCAGCCTGAAGCCTCTACTCAGCCTGAAGCCTCTACTCAGCCTGAAGGCTCTACTCAGCCTGAAGCCTCTACTCAGCCTGAAGCCTCTACTCAGCCTGAAGCCTCTACTCAGCCTGAAGCCTCTACTCAGCCTGAAGCCTCTACTCAGCCTGAAGCCTCTACTCAGCCTGATGCCTTTACTCAGCCTGATGCCTGCATTCAGCCTGATGCCTCTACCCAGCATGATGAACTGATCCAGCCTGACAATCCTATTAGGCCAGTTGACTCGATGCCCGCTGTTGATCCAGATGATCCGGTACCTGATCCGGTGCCCGCTGTCGTGCCAATTGACTCAGAGCCCGCTGTCGTACCTGGTGACTCGGTGCCCACTGCCTTGCCAGATGACACGGTGCCCGCTGGCGAGCCAAATGACCTGATGCCTGGTGACCCAGTGCCGCTGTCATACCTGGTGACCCGATGCCCGCTGTCGAACCAGACAATCTGGTACCTGATGACCTGGTGCCCACTGTTGTGCCAATTGAGTGAGAGCCCACTGTCGTGCCTGGTGATTCGGTGCCCGCAGTCTCGCCAGACGACTCGGTGCCCGCAGTCTCGCCAGACGACTCGGTGCCCGCTGTTCCGCCAGACGACTCGATGCCCGCAGTCTTGCCAGACGACTCGGTGCCCGCAGTCTTGCCAGACGACTCGGTGCCCGCAGTCTTGCCAGACGACTCGGTGCCCGCAGTCTTGCCAGACGACTCGAAGCCCGCTGTTCCGCCAGTTGACTCGGTGCCCGCAGTCTTGCAAGACGACTCGGTGCCCGCAGTCTTGCCAGACGACTCGGTGCCCGCAGTCCTGCCAGACGACTCGGTGCCCGCAGTCCTGCCAGACGACTCGGTGCCCGCAGTCTTGCCAGACGACTCGAAGCCCGCCTGTTCCGCCAGTTGGCTCGGTGCCCGCAGTCTTGCCAGTTGACTCGGTGCCCGCAGTCTTGCCAGTTGACTCGGAGTCCACTGTCGTGCCTGGTGACTCGGTGCCCGCCGCTCCGCCTGGGGGCCTGAGACCTGTCGCTCCGCCTGGGGGCCTGAGACCTGTCGCTCCGCCTGGGGGTCCGGCGCCCGCCGCTCCGCCTGGGGGCCCGAGACCTGTCGCTCCGCCTGGGGGTCCGGCGCCCGCCGCTCCGCCTGGGGGCCCGAGACCTGTCGCTCCGCCTGGGGGTCCGGCGCCCGCCGCTCAGCCTGGGGGCCCGATGCCTGTCGCCCCTCCTGGGGGCCGGCGCCCGCCGCTCCGCTTGGGGGCCCGATGCCTGTCGCCCCGCCGGGGGGCCCGGTGCCTGTCGCCCCGCCTGGGGGCCGGTGCCTGTCGCCCCGCCTGGGGGCCCGGTGCCTGCTGCTCCGCCTGGTGGCCCGCTGCCTGCTGCTCCGCCTGGTGGCCCGCTGCCTGCTGCTCCGCCCGGTGGCCCGGTGCCTGCTGCTCGCCCGGTGGCCCGGTGCCTGCTGCTCCCGCCCGTGGCCCGGTGCCTGCTGCTTCGCCTGGTAATCCGATGTGCCTCTGCCCGGAGTCCAGCTTGATGTGAATCTGCCCGGAGTCCAGCCCGATGTGCCTCTGCCCGGAGTCCAGCCCGATGTGCCTCTGCCCGGAGTCCAGCCCGATGTGCCTCTGCCCGGAGTCCAGCCCGATGTGCCTCTGCCCGGAGTCCAGCCCGATGTGCCTCTGCCCGGAGTCCAGCCCGATGTGCCTCTGCCCGGAGTGCCTGCCCGGTGTGCCGCTGCCCGGAGTGCCTCTGCCCGGAGTCCTGCCCGGTGTGCCGCTGCCCGGAGTCCTGCCCGGTGTGCCAGTCTTTGATATCCCGCCAGTTACCAGACCCGGGCGGTGGAACATTTTGCCCAGCTAGGACTGTTTGGAGCATCCTGAGGCCGCTCCTTGAGGGGGGGGGTACTGTCAGGAATGGTCTGGCCAGCAATAGTGGGACTCACCTGCCTTATGAGCTGCAGTACCAGGGCTGGCCAGCGGGTGCTCCCAGCAATCAGAGACTCAACCTTGCAGCCAGTCAAACACCTGGAACTAATTATACTGGTGTATTTAAGGGACATTCAGACCTGCAGACTCTGCCTTGGTGTGTGTTTCTCCTGGGCCCTGTATCCTGTTCCTGCTCCCTGTTCCTGTCTGATTCTCTGCTGACCCTGCTCTGATCCCTGGCTTGTCTGACCATTCTCCTCTGCCTGACCCTCTGTACCACGCTGCCCGCTACCTGCTACCTGCTGAACCTGGCTTGTGACCCCGACCATTCTCCGCTTGCTCCCCCTGTACCTACCTGCCCGATTGATATTGACCCGGCCTGCCTGACGACGCTTGCATTGTATGTACTGTTATCTGTGGGTGGTTGGTTTGGTTTGTTTGCACTGTGTTATGTTTTAGTATTGCACTGCGTTTATGTTTGTATTGTTAGTGTTAATAAATTACATTGTTTATAACATATCTGAAGTCTGCGTTTCCCTGCGTCAGTCACACAACTCTGGTCATACCCGGGAGCCCTGACAATCATTATCCATTTGTAGAAGCCATCCTTTCTTTAACTTCAGCTTTTTCACAGATGGCATCAAGTTACCATCCAAAATTTGCTGAAAATTTATTGAATCCATTTTTCCTTCAACTCATGAGATGTTCCCTGTGTCACTGGCTGCAACATAACCCCAAAGCATGATTGATCCAACCCCATGCTTAACAGTTGGACAGAGGTTCTTTTCATTAAATTCTGTGCCCCTTCTTCTCCAAACATACCTTTGCTCTTTCCGGCCAAAAAGTTAAATTTTAACCTCATCGGTTCATAGAACTTGTTTCCAAAATGCATCAGGCTTGTCTATATGTTCATTTGCAAAGTTCAAACAATGATTTTTGTGGTGAGGACGTAGAAGAGGTTTTCTTCTGAGGACTCTTCCATGAAGACCATATTTGTACAAGTATCTCTTTATAGTGGGATAGTATACCACAACTCCAGTGTCTGGCAGATCTTTCTGGAGGGATCGTGCAGTCAAACGTGGGTTTTGAATTGTCAATCCTGCGAGCTGTTCTGTCTGATATTTTTCTTTGTCTTCCAGATCTTGCTTTAACTTCCACTGTTCCTGATGACTGCCATTTCTTAATTACATTCCGAACAGAGGATATTGACATCTGAAAACGCTTTGCTATCTTCTTATAGCCTTCTCCAGCTTTGTGAGCGTCAACTATTTTCAGTTTCAGTTTTCTAGACAACTGCTTAGAAGAACCCATGGTGCTGATTGTTGGGGCAAGGTCAGATGAGTCTGGGCATTTAAAACCTTTGAGATTGACATCACCTGGTCTTCCCAGATGATGATTGAGAACAATCCATGACACTGGCAGGTCTCAGCTTGGCAAAGGGGGCAGTGCATGCTATACATTCTGCAGGGTGCCCAAACTTTTGCAGACGCCATTTTTTTGTTTTTCTGTTATTTTGAAAGTGTAAATAATGGAAATAAAATCTAACTTTTGTTGACATATTATAAGAATGTCTAATCTGTAATTTGATGCCTTTTGGAGATTTTTCCATCTTTTCTTGGCTTCTTTATGCACATTAATACAAATTTTTAGCTGGGGTGCCCAAACTTTCGATCCCCACTGTACATCTTTTTCTGTAAATATTTTTATTGCACCCGTTTGACCTTTTAGTAATTAATCTTTCCTTTTGAAAGTGTTGAACTGTTTCTATAGCGCTTTATTGCAATTTACAAATTCCTGCCTCTAAAGAGAACGCTACTGTGTTTGTTTAACCCTCTGTATAACCATGTTATACAGACGATTACCTCAAGTTGTTTAACTCTCTGCATAATCGGCCTGCGGTGACCGTATTATGCAGACGATTATCTCAACCATTATAGTGTTTTAGCTGATATTGCCGAGTTTCCTCTTTCTCTGTACAAAAAGGAGGTGGTGGCAGTGTGAAGGGTTAATTGCGTAATTAACCTGACCCAGTAACAATTGCTCAGGCTGCCGGTACATTGATTGTGGTTCAATTAGCTGGAAAATCGTTGTGCAGGGTGCAGCTGGGTGTGGCATTGTTACGCACATGACATTGCAGTTTTAGATCGGCTAGTCCTTCGGTCACGAGTTTGGTGAGATGGGCTGGGGTCTGACGCCGCGATCGTGACAATCCCTGCTGGGGGAACACTGATATTATTGTGAGCGGCTATGGCCGCTGGCAATAATTGCACTAAAAAATCCAACAGGCTGGTCATACAACAATCGGTCTGGGTACAATTAGCCTGCCCATAGATGGTTCGACTCTCAAATGGTCCCTGCTGAACCAGCTGAGATTTAAACCATCTATGGCTGGCTTTATAGCACTTTTTCATACTACACCATTTTGCTAAGCAGGTACTACAGTGTCTCAAACACTCAGATATTGATGTGGGAAACACTTGCAGATATTTGCTCCAGTAATAGCACTGTTTGAATCTCATGGTGCTCCATTAAAACTTGCTTTAGGTAAAATAAACATTTTCTAAACAGTAATGTTTTGAATAGATGAATGAATCTTTTTCATACAAATCGTGATCAATTTATAAATAGCTTTTCCATTTACATGGGGACTAACTCCCCCTGGCAATGCTTCATTATGTTTTTCTTACATGAATAGAAGATTATCTGTAAATAGAAAAAAAATGAAGCCTGTTGTAAAAATCCAGTTTTGATAATATCTATATGTACTGCATATTTTCTTCACATTAGGGTGAACTGTACTTTTTGCCATCTGGTGACTACCTAACAGATGTAAAAAAAACAAATACATTTTCTAACTGCTCTAGAAGAATAATATAAATGATTTAACTGTATAAAAAGTCTTAGAGATGCATTGTGCATGTGTCTCTCTTATCCCCTTCGTTCATATCGGAGCCACAAATCAACAGTGAACTACCTGTCTCAGGCAGTTAATTTTAGATCCTCTCTGCATACGCACAGGTGGGTCTGTGTGTATATATTATAGGGAGTACATGGGATATTTTGGCAGTTCTGCACCTGTCCCCATGAAATGAAATTGCTAAAGATAAACCCTTCTTTACATTTATTGCTGTGAAATAGAAATATGACATGAACGGAATGTGTAACTGAAACAGTTGGAGTTAAATGGTATCCTTAATGTTCAAAAAGAAAATGCAGCTGTGGTTTATGTTTTGTACAAACCTCCGTCTCAGATTAAGAATGCAATTTCTCCTAAAACAAGGCTGCAGAAATGTATGTAAACTATTTTGTAGGTGTTTAGCAATATATTATCGGGAAGAAAAATAAAAATGGGTACAGAATTTTCTTTGCTGCGCCTGCAAATGATTCAAAGCCTTTGTATATCATTTCTTGCAGGTGGAAGAGGAATTTGAAATCCACAGTGATAAAAATGATGTAAAATGTATGATAAGGACAAGGATTGAGACCATACGCTTTATACAGTTGAGGTAATGAAGGTACTGTATATTCACATAGATATTTCTTGATAAGCGCTGAAAATGCAGAACATGTGCATCCTACATCAAAGGCTAGCTATAAATTGGAATGGCTGCCTTTATTGTATAGCTTGCTTACTGGATTGGAATGGGGACACGTCAGATGTCTTCAGCTGCTGTGCTCTTGCTGCTCTTCTAATGTGTCCCTGCTCCTTTAAGGAAGAATGGACTCCCTTCCAGGCATATGTATCTTCTGCTATATATGTTCCAACTTGGAGACTCTCAAATGTAAGTGTTCATGAGCACTGCAGCTGATAAACTGATGTTCAGGAGCTTTTCTGCATTTTTTTTTTAGCAGCTCCTGAACTCTCCCTAATGTTTTCCTATGTGTCCATGTACACTATGTCGTTTACAGGCAGTTGGGTTTACAGTTGTTTTTTTGTACGCACCAAACTTGTGTTCAGGAGTAGATTTTATCAGCGTTTCAAATGCGAAACGCTTGTAAATGCATGTAAATGCAGCTAACCGCGTTTATAAGCATTTCTGTTTAGAAGCAGTTTTTTTAACTGCTCCATATCTAGATGCTGTCCAGAGCCTTTTTTCATCATCAGAAATGCATGCAAAAGCATTTTCCATGTATTCAAATGGACCCAGTACGCCAGCGCAGTCAGTTCAAGGTTTTTCGTGAAGGAAAAAATGATAGAACGTGCAGCATTATGCTCATGATGGGATCCATAGTGAATACAACCAGAACAGATAGGTAATCTCAACACATACTGCTCTCTCTGCTTCTGCTCTTTCTTTTCTCTCTCAAAATGTCTGAAATAGTTAATTTTTTACTGTTTTTCAGTGCATTCTGAGCATTTTGGAAGGTTTCCTGAGGTTATCTTTACAAAACACTTCTAAACGCAAACGCTCAAACGCGTTATGCAAACTCGGCTAAACAAACTTTTTTTAACCTACGTTTTCCAGCAGTCAGTTTCCATCGTTCAGAAGTGTTTTCCAAATGTCCTGTGTACATGGAGCCTATGGAGTGTACATGGAGTTTATTTTTATCGGTCAAACTGGAAAATCCACGAAAAACGGCTGCTTTTCGTAGACATTAGTGGCAACATCAGCAACGACCTATTTTTCATTTATCGTCCGACAAACGGCCCGTCTATGGCCTGCATTAGAGTTAGGACCACACTTTACAGAGGAGCCTTGGCGATGCAGTGCAGCTTCCACATATATTTGCAAATGTGTG